CTTGCATGCATCACTAGTTTCTTCCCCTGTTGGCCCTGTCATTTGAAATATCAATATACTGCTACTTCTCCCATCTGCTCTTCTTGTCTTGGGTCTCTCTAGCTACCAGTAAATTTTTTATTTTTTGGCTTCGCTCAGTAGCAAGGTCTCAAACTTATGCTCCCAACTGAACTTTTGTTTTTCTCCTCAAACCTGTTTCTCTTATGCCCTCCTGCATCTCAGGGCATGCCAGCCTCTCCTGCTTGCTCTCCTGCCCACTCTCAATCCTCCTACTAAACTTTCCTGGGTCTCCAGAGCTCATCCTCTTTGTCTTTGTCTGCCTCTCCTTTCCTGCTCCTGTCTGTCCCACCTCAGCTCAGGTCATGCAGCTACAATGGCCACAACCATCCTGACCCTGGCTCCGTTGTTACCATGCAGTCAGTGTGAGTCTTTCCAATGCAATTTGGCTTTTGTCAGGCTCCTGCTCAGAAGCCCAAGAGGGTTTTTCATGTCATTCAGACGGGCCTACACAATCTACCCCTCACCCCCAATTATCTCTAAAAGACTGCCTTTCCCAAGTCATCTTCAATCCTCTGTTCTCATCAGGTTTTTCCCAGACATTCACACAAAGGTGGAATATTCTGCTTGGTTCCAAGTTAAGGCCGAATTCCTAAGAAACAGTGGCTTGTACCTTTCTTGGGGACATTTCCTGGATACTTTTGTGCCTGCTCACTCCAACCAAAACCATCCATGTCTTATTTTCCTAAATCTTACACACTAGATAGATTGAAACTGTGACTGATTTCTTTTAACAGAATTCCTGCTCTTTGCCTTCAGAATGGTACTATCTTCCCAAATTCCTACAAAATCCCTTTCTGGTTAAATGGCAGTTTCTTTAGAGAAGTCAAAGGGTAAACTGAGGCAAAGTGGGCCAGTGCTGCGGGAACAATGCAAGATCGCAACAGAGAGGAAAATAGAAGGAAGTAAAGTGAGGCATGGACGGCTGGAAACGGGCCTTTCAAGCAAGGGGCGCTTAGACCTGGAGGAGGTCTGGGCCTAAAGGAATGTGCAGAGTTGTATTCTTTGTTTTCCATAGTAGTAGTTTGAATCTAGTATCTCGACATCCCCAGGCATCAACATTTCATGACCTCAGGTGGTGGGCTGGAGGTTGTCATGGTAGTATGGTAACAATATACCAATAAACATGCCTCCTGGTGGTGTGCTGGAGGTCATCACTGGACCGCAATAACAATTATCAATACAAATGCCTAAAAGATTAATTGTTAGCAAGACTGGACAGGCTTAAGGGGTTCTGTGTAATCACCAATTTCTAAAACTAAAGTATTTTTCTTGTTAATGATTCCAGGGTAAAAGGACATGTGGGCCATGCAAGTTGTGCAGCAAGGAAATGCCAAGGGGCGAGGTCCAAGCAAAATGGCTGTGTTGATTCAAAATGGCTATGTTTACTCAAAATGGCTATGTTTACCCAAAATTTCTAGGGTTTCCTCCTTTCAGAAAGCCTTTCCTTTTTTTGAGCTCTGGTTGTGCCAACACATTAGCCTCCTCTTGCCTGGCAGCCTCCTCGCTGCCCTTTCACCTTCCAGCTGTGCCTCTGTGTATCACCTTTGTACTTGCTATAATAGGTCAAGGGTTCTGGAAGCAGCTGGACCAAATTCAAGGCCTGTCTCCATCTTGTTCTGGCTGACACATTAGGTAAGTTATTTAACTTTCTGTTCCTCAGGTTTCTTTTCTGTAAAATAGAGATCATGTTGGCAGTTGCCTGATGGGGCTATTGTGGCAGATGCGGGTCTCTTCAGGGGAGCAGATTATTGGAGAGTGGCATTGGACCTGTTGAGGGGAAGATACCGAGGCAGCAATGGGACTGCAATGCTACCCAAGGGCAGGATTCATTGATCCTCTGCAGGAAGCTCTGCAACAGAAATGATCCTTCAGGGCTATCCTCAGTTAAACCAAGATGGCTAGGACTTTGAATGTGGGCTATCCTGGGGAAGGGTGTGACCCTGGCGGGTTGCGGCTGAGGTACCCCCCAAAGATGCGGAGAGCTGAGGACCACTGACTGCTGTCCTCATTACCAGAGTGACAATTCAAAACTCTGCAGTTGGTTTTGAGAAAGTGTATTAATGTATTGTCTGGGAAAGATTTAATGCAGTTTTGCACTTTATGTGATTTCGAATTCTTTGTCTCCAACAAAATTAACTCACCACCTAATCAAGTGGTCAACTAATAGATCATTAAGAAGTATAACAGATTGCTATGTGAGGTCAGGAGCAGTGGCTCACACCTGTAATCCCAGCACTTTGGGAGATGGAGGTGAGAGGATTGCCTGAGCCCACGGGTTCAAGACCAACCTGGGCAGCTTGGCGAGACCTTGTCTCTAAAATAAATTTTTAAAAAATTAGCTGCACATGGTGGCACACACCTTTAGTTCCAGCTACTTGGAAGGCTGAGGTTGAAGGATTGCCTGAGCCCAGCACGTTGAGGCTGCAGTGGCTGTGAGCATGCTACTGCACTTCAGCCTGGGTGATAGAGTGAGACTCTGACTCAAAAAAAAAAAAAAAATTGCTGCTGGGCTCGGTGGCTCAGCCTGTAATCCCACGCCTTGGGAGGCTGAGGTGAGTGGATTGTCTGAGCCCACGGGTTCGAGATCCGCCTGGGCAACTTGGTGCGCCCTCATCTCTACAATAAATCAAAAAATTAGCTGGGTGTGGTAGTGTGTCTGTAGTTCCAGCTACTTGGGAGACGGAGGCGGAAGGATCACCAGAGCCCAGCGGGTCGAGGCTGTGGTGGCTGGGAGCGGCCACTGTACTCCAGTCTGGGCGACCGAGTGAGACTCCAACTCAATAAAATAAAATAAAATAAATTGCTATATGATTTTTTTGCATATAACTCAGTAGAAGCTAAAAAAATTTGTCACTACTGTAACAATTCCTCCCAATCCCATCTATTAATTTATGTAAACAAATTTTCTTAGTGCTAGCAGAAAAATTGAAAAAAAAAAACCAAAATAAAAATATAATTATTTGGAACTGTGACTCATTCTAGCAATAAATAATATTCTTCAAGATAAATGAACCCTCATCCATTTCATTATAAGTAAATTTTGCTTTTTATGTTTCTTAATCTCTATAGACTTAATGCTCTTATAGTTTCATTAAAATGTACAATATATTCACATTGTTTGGTGTATTAGCTACAATTGTAATTATGATCCAGAAGGGTTTTTTTCTTAATATTTAGAAGCATATCATTACAGGATATAAATAAAGACTAAACTTTATATATATTTTATTGCTGAGAAGTATGATAGAGTGAGTAATTCAAGATTTTCAAGTCGGGCTCGGTGGCTCAGCCTGTAATCCCATGCCTTGGGAGGCTGAGGTGAGTGGATTGCCTGAGCCTGCGGGTTCAAGACCCGCCTGGGTAACTTGGTGAGACCTCGTCTCTACAATAAATAAAAAAATTAGCCGGGCATGGTAGCGTGTGCCTGTAGTTCCAGCTACTTGGAAGAATGAGGCGGAAGGATTGCCGGAGCCCAGCAGGTCGAGGCCGCACTCCAGTCTGGGCAACAGAGTGAGACTCCAACTCAAAAAAAAAAGATTTTCAAGCATAGAAAATATATTAGGATAAAATTCTGTGGGGCAGCTGGGCATAGTGGCTGAGGCCCACAATCCCAGTGCTTTGGGAGGCCTTTGTTGAACTCCTGCAGGAGGACTGCTTGAGCCGGGGTGTTCCAGGCTGCAATGAACTATGATTGAGATACTACACTCCAGCCTGTCACAGAGCCAGATCCTGCTTAAAAAAAAAAAAAAAATCTGTGGGGAAAGTGAACTGGAAATACAAATTCGAAGAGGGGTGTCAGTCTTTAAAAAATGTCCAAATGTTAAAAAAGAAGGGCTTAGTCGTATGTTTTTAAAAAAAATGATATGTATTTAGTCACAGGATATTTAGATTCCATTAGATAGTTTGTGTGTCAATCATAAAGCTGGACATTAGTGAAAGCTGTGAAACCAGATTTTATTCAGTAACTACCACAGTAAGGGGAAGCGCTGAGTTCCATTCGGATTTGTACAGAGATGACAGGTTTAAAAGGGAAAGTGAGGGCCTCAGGAAGGGGTGGGGCTCAAGTGAAAAATACAAAGGGTTGGTCAATGTAAACCAATTAGGTGGCTGTGTCAGCTAGCAGGCAGTTACGAAATTGGGATTCTAGTTTTCCGGAGACTGAGACAGTGGTCCTATCTTTGCCGATTAGATTTCAGAGGAATGGCTCTCAGATCTTTGCGAGAGACCGTGCTGAGTTGTAAAAAGTACATGTTCACAACTGTAAGCCCTTTTTCAGTAAATGCTCTAGGAAAGGGAGGACGGGCCTACTGGCTAGAACTAACAGGCAGTTCCCGGCTGGGGTCATCTAGGGAGCGGCCTTGGTCGGCTGGGCAGTGCAGAGGTGCGCAGGGGTCGCTCTGCGCCAAGACTACTGCAGTTTTCAGGAGTAATGTAAGAGTTTTGTTTTGAATATCTGTATTTACAGCTCACCGGAAATGAAATCCTTTGCACCTGTTTACATTTTAGGTGAAAAGCACACAAAAGCGTATGCAGTTTCCCCACGTTCTTAGGAGTGCAGCAGAAGCCCAAGTTTAAAGACACACATAACATTTGATTTTCCCAGGGATCCCTGCCTCCTGAGAGGTCTCGAGTTGCAGTCGGGTCTCGCCGCTAACTCCCAGACCCAAGTGTCCGAGCCTGTCTTTCCCGGGATTCCTTCCTCTAGTCCGCGGAATCGGAACATGCCTACGTGTGGCCTCCGGTCCTCTCTGAGGTCCTCCCCCCCGCTAGGCCGCCGGGCCAGAAGCCTGCGCCACCGAGATAAGAGCTGGCCCCCATCCTCCCCGCCGCCCCCTGCGCTCCTAGAGCGACGCCGGAAGTTCCCCGGGCGGAGCCTGGGACGACTTCCGTTCGCAGCGTAGCGGGAGGTCGAGCGGGCTTTGTCGGCAGTTCTGCAGGACCGGCGGGCACGGGGTCTAGTCTGCCGCTCCGGGGTCTCTCCCGCGTCGTCCTCGCCACCGCGCCCCGGGTGAGTGGCGCGTTCCGGGCCGGGGGCGGGCAGAGCCTTTGCTGAGGCCCCGGCGACTCAAGGGCCCGGCTGCCAGGCCAGAGGCCGTCCAGAGAGCCGGGCGGGCATCCGCAGGCCGCGGCTGGACCCTAAGCGCGGCCTGCCCCGCACGGGTGTCTAAGAGCTGGGACTTCGGTGTGCCAGCCTCCTTGACAGCAGCCACGCCGCCCCCGCAAGGTTGCAGCTCCTGCCCGTGTTTCCTAGCGCCTCCAGCGAGTCCACCTAGGGCCCGGGCCTGGGGTTTTCTCCCCGAAGAGCTTCATGTGGGTACACTTGGGTCCGTTCCTTTTGGTTTCTTTTCCCATCACCCCACCCTTTTCCAGGTTCCAAGGGGTTACGTACCGAAGCCTTAAAACCTCTAGCTTGAACTTCTGTTTTCTTTCTTGAGTTGGGGTATCACTCTGTCGCCCAGACTGCAGTGCATTGACACGATCACGTCTCACCACAACCTCGACTTCCTGGGCCTAGGCGATCCTTCTGCCTCAGCCTCCTGAGGAGCTGGGACTACAAGGCGCGCGCCACCACGCCCGGCTAATTTTTAAAAATTTTTTGTAGAGACGAGGACTTGCTATGTTGCCTAAGCTGGTCTCGAACCTGGGTACCAGCAGTCCTCCCGCCTTGGCCAGAGTGCAGGGATTACAGGCAAGAGCCACCGTGCTGGGTCTCTAGCTTAAATTTACATGTCGCAGTTTTCAAGCCTTTTGAGCCACTCTGAGATTGGATGCCCCAGACATTTTAAAAGGAGTAGTAAGTACAGGTGTGGTCATTCTGGGTTTTTTTTTTGTTTGTTTGATCTTTTTTTGTTGTTTTGTTTTTGAGTTGGAGTCTCATTCTGTCGCCCAGACCAGAGCCCAGACCAGAGTGCAGTGGCTGCTCCCGGCCACCGCAGCCTCGACCTGCTGGGCTCCGGCGATCCTTTGCCTCAGCCTTCCAAATAGCTGGAACTACAGGCGCTCGCTACCACGCCCGGCTAGCTTTTTGATTTATTGTAGAGATGAGCTCTCGCCTGCCCAGGCGGGTCTCGAACCCGCAGACTCAGGCAATCCACTCACCTCAGCCTCCCAGAGGCGCGGGATTACAGGCTGAGCCACCGAGACCGGCTGTTTCATCATTTTTTAACCTGCCTACTTCCATAGGGGCCTTGAAGCCTCCGCCTGATGGAGATGCAGCGTCAGCATCTTCTGTGCTGTTGGGGTTAGTGGTGGGGAGGGAAATGTGGTAAGTTAACTCCAAGACTTGGGCCTGAAGAAATCCCAGGTGGGGAGAGCTGGTTTGGCTGTTTCCTGCTTTTTCATGAAACTTCCCTTTACCCTATTCTTTATTAACCCTATGCTGATGCCAGGGCCTTCTTACCCACATTGGCTACATGGTGGTCAAGGGATCCTCAGGACCTGAGTAGCATGCCAGAGGTTTTCCACTAGTATTAGCTGGATGCAGGTTTTAAACTCAAGCAGTTTGTCTGAAACAGCTTCGGGAGATGCTGAGTTTGTCAGCACTGTCATGGAATATGATCAGTGAGAGGACACTGGGCTCCTTGTTGTTCTTGGGCAGAGCCCTGAGAGCAGCAAGCTGGGAGCAGAAGCCAAATGGGTTGGGGGGGGGCAGTTAACAGCCCCAGTTCTCTATTTGACCATAATCTTGCCACCTTCCTTGAACTTCGGTGCTTCAGCAGCAGGCCCCTTGGTGACTGTGGCCAGCACAGAGGTCCAGGTGTGTGTGCTGTAGTCTGCATCGCACTCAGGTGTTCTCTTGCTCTGCTTTTATTGTTATAAGTGAAGCTTGGCAACCCTTCCAGTTTTGTCTCTGGGCCATAAGCAACCGTGACTCTGGCTGGGAGCCCAAGGCCAGAATATCCCTTTACCAGTGTGGGTGTGAAAGCTGGGCTTCTAGTGCTAGGTGGGGCAGCCCCATACATCCAAGAGCCACTCTGGCTGCTGATGATACACAACATTGCTGTATTTAGACAATTTCAGGTGATATTTTCTCCAGCAGATTTTACATGTTATATAACAGGGGTCCATGTTGGTCTAGTATGTTGTAGAGCCACAGATCTGGCATGTGTTTACTTCCTTTTGTTCATGTCATTGCTGTTTCTTTAAATGAAAAAGTGTCAATTTAATTTTACCTAAATTCATAGACGTAAAAGGAACTAAGCAGAAACTTGTAATATTTTTATAAGATTGCTATTTTGACTTAAATGTTTCTTCAACACAACACAAAAGAATCCAACATCTGCACCTCCTTTTTTTTAGTTAAAAAGAATGACATGGTTTAAAATATAAGCTTACTTTCATAATGCTAATCCCAGCTGTTCTCTAAGCAGAATTATCTTGTAAACATGATATCATACCTAGGAAGGAAGAACAATCTTTCATAACAGAGAAATGGAGAAACATGGGCAGACATCTTGGATTTGAATCATAGCTCTGCCCCCTTACCATTTTAGTGAACTTTGGTGATTTGCTTTCTCTTGTTTTCATTTCTTCTCTGTAGAATAAATGGTAGGATAATACCTAGCTCTTGAGATTTGGAGGAGCACATAAGATAATGTGAGTCAGTCGCTCAGCGCTGTGCCTAGTAGAGGTTTTTGGGGCCCGATAAACAGCATCCCATCACCTTTTCCGAGTTCCAAGCCAGTTGAGGCAGAGGAATAAGGGCATGTAGAGCAAACAGTTACCTTAACACTGGCCAAAGATAGGCTGGAGGAACACTGGACTTCCTCAGACCGAAAGCCAGCAGTCTCTCATGGGCTGCCCCACTTAAAACTCCTTAGAGAAGCAGAGCAGAATTGGACCCCTGGAAACAGTTGGGAGAGTGTGGCCTCCAATGCCTTATTATTCTCTCGTGTTTCATTCTGCTAACACAGTCCACCTTTTGGGGGAGGAGATAGGGTTGGGCAAAACCAGAACACTTTAGGGAAAAATCTCTTCTCAGGAAACTAGAGGCCTAGGGACAAATGATCCCTTCTGCTGCTGGTTCATAGGAGGTCCTCAATAAGTCCCTGTGAGTGCACCATTAGTTGTGACAGAGATGACAGTGGGAGAGCCAGGCATTTTTGTATGTGTGAACATGAGGAATACTAGGGTATATCATAAATGGGAGGTAATGTGCCAGATGAATAGGTACAATGTGATCCCATTTTTATTTAACAATCTAGGAAGTCTGCAGCCATAAGCAATTCACATTTATTTCTCAGATTGTGAAAATGTCCTTAATTTGATGTGGCAAAAAAATTTAACTACAGGTATTAAATACTGAACAATGTTAAGAGTTTATTATTTTACCCATTTTTATTTCTGAAAATCATGTGTGCATGAATAAATATATACATGTAAATTTAAGCAAAGGTCCAAATGGATGTATCTAAATGAAACAGCTAACAGTGGTTATCTGTTGAATAGCCAGGAATTTCCATCATCTCTATGTTTACATTTCTTTGCCATTTGAAGTATTTTTACAATATGTATCTTATACCTTTGAGTCAAGAATAAAAAAGATTGTATAAAAGTAAACTAGGGTATTAAAACTAAATAGCATGGTTCTGATGTAATAAAATATGAATGCAAAAAAGAGCACAAGGAGAAATGATAACTGGGAATCTGGTGAGGTTAAAGGTAATTTTATTATTCTTTTTAAAGTTTTTCTCTATTGTCTCATTTTTCTCAATTAGCATAAAAAAGTAACTAGTTAAATGTAATTTTTTTAAGCAGGAGAAATTTGGGGTTTTTTTGAGTTGGGAGTCTCACTCTGTCGCCCAGGCTGGAGTGCTGTGGTGCACTCACAGCCACTGCTGCAGTGAGCTTAGGTGATCCTTCTGCCTCAGCCTTCCGCGTAGTTGGAACTATAGGCACATGCTACTGTGCCCAGCTAATTTTTTGATGTATTGTAGAGACAAGGTCCCACCAAGTTGCCCAGGCTGGTCTTGAAACCCTGGGCTCAGGCAGTCCTCTCACCTCTTGTTTTCCGAAGTGCTAGGATTACAGGCGTGAGCCACCACGCCCATCTAGCAAGAGAAATATATATATATATATATATACTTTTTTCAGTAGGCGTCTCACTGTTGCCCAGGTAAGTGACATGCTCACGACCACCACAGCCTCGGCCCTCTGGGCTCAGGTGATCCTCAGCCTTCTAAATAGCTGGAACTACAGGCATGTGCCACCATGCCCAGCTATTTGTTTTATTTATTGTAGAGACGAAGTCTTGCCAAAATGCCCATGCTGGTCTTGAACCCCTGGACTCAGGCAGTCCTCTAGCCTCTGCCTCCCAAAGTCCTGAGATTACAGGTGTGAGCCACTGTGCCTGGCTGAGAAATATTTTTAAAGTAAGTTAGGGGGCTTTTAACTCAGCAAGTCTCTTAGAGATAGAAATGGCTCACATAGAATTACATCTGCTTCTCATTCCTATTGTCAGTTATTGTTATGCAGTTTGAATTTCTTCATCATCATCTGAATGTCTGCATGTTAGCATTAATTAAGGTATAAGTTAAAGTTGCTGTAACAGAGATTCAGAATACAGCGTGTCATACAAAAAACTTGATTTCTCTTACTTCACCTCAAAGGTAGGCAGGTAGCTCTACAGGGACCCTGGCTGTTCTGCCTCATCAGCACTGGGGGAGGGCAAGAGAGTGGACAGTGTACACACATCCCTTCCCTTCTTGTCTCATTGACAAGAAGAACACTAAGAAATGTCATTTACTTGGGTGGCTGTTAGTAATTTGGTGAAAGGAAAAAAGAAAGCAGGAATGCTGGGGAATTCTTGTAGTCTGTGCCTCAAGTTTCCCCATTGGCCACTAAGTATCATGTTGCCATGATACTCAGTTACCCCATTGGCCACTAAGTATCATGTGGCCATGATACTCTTTCCCACATATGGGATACACAAGCATTCCTAGGAGATATTGCATGTTTGGTTCCAGACACCACAATAAAGTAAATATAACAATAAAGCAAGTCACAAAC